AAAAAAAATTAGGTATTATATTGTCCAAAAATAGGGGACTTTAACCCCTCGCCTACCGGGCACTTATACCCCCTTCCCATCCAGGCCAATTTCCAGCTTTCAGTGCTGTCACACTTTGAATGACAATTGCGTTCCGGTCATGCAACACTGTACCCATATGAAATTTTTATCATTTGTTTGAGACAGATAGAGCTTTCTTTTGGTGGTATTTAATCACCTCTGGGATTTTTATTTTTTCTTAAACCAAAAACCACTGAAAATTTTGGGGAAAAAAAAAACGTTTTTTTCTTAGTTTTTGTTATACAATTTTGTAAATAAGTGATTTTTCTCCTTCACTGATGTGCGCTAATGAGGCTGCAGTGATGGGCACTGATAGGCTGCGCTGATGGACACTGATAGGTGGCACTGATAGGTTGCACTGATGGGCATTGACAGGCATCACTGATGGGCACTGAAAGGCAGCACTGATACATGACACTGATATATGGCACTGATAGGCAGCACTGACTGGCACTGATAGGCGGCACTGACTGGCACTGATAGGCGGCACTAACTGGCACTGATAGGTGGCACTGATGTGGCACTGATAGGCGACACTGACTAGCACTGATAGGTGGCACTGATTGGCAGCACTGATATGTGGCACTGACTGGCATTGATAGGTGGCACTGATGGGTGACATTGAAAGGCAGCTCAGATGGGCACTGATATGTGCCATTGATGTACACTGGTATGCACTGATATGCACTGGCATGTGGGCACTGGCACGTGGCATTGATGAGCACTGACTGCTGGCACTGATGGGACACTGACAGGTGGCACTTCTGGGGCCACACTGATCATCAGGACACACTGATCATCATTGCCCTGATGATCAGTGTACATGTCCCCTCTGTGGAAAGCTGATTATCAGCTCTCCTCTCCTCCTGTCAGCGTGACAGCTCGACAGGAGAGAAATGCGGATAGCCGGCATTTCCGTTTTACATGTGATCAGCTGTGATTGGACACAGCTGATCACATGACCGAGCAGACATCTTCCGCTCTTTCCGTGATCCACTGTGTCCGAGGGACACAGCGCACCGGCGATCGCCGCACTGCACGCTCCCTGAGCCGCGCATGCGCAGTGAGAATGAAAGGACGTCATATGACGTCCTATCAGAACGAGAGAACCACCTTGCGCCCGTCATTGTACTATATGGCGGGCAGAAGGTGGTTAAAGGCATTGTACTTCAAACTAACAACACAATTTAATAAAACAATATTTATTTAAGTCTATTAAAAATGAATTGGGAGAAAAAAATGCACCATTGTTTTTAATGGACTTCAAAAAATATTGTTTTATTAAATTGTGTTTTTAGTTTGAAGTACAAAAATAAACAATATGGTAAAATGTTCCACCATTTAGACTGTTTTTGCCGACATTCCAATGTATGTAAATCAGAGAAAAGCTAGAAATGTTCCCCTGGGACTTTGTATGGCAAAAACCACAATTTTTGTATATTTTGCCATACAAAGTTCCAGGGGAACATTTCTAGCTTTTCTTAGTTTGAAGTACAATGCCTTTAAAGTCCCCTATTTTTGGAAAGTCATTTCCTTTTTGTTGTCTTGGTACTATTTTGGATGTGGCATCGTACGCCTATTCCCTGAGATGTGCTAAGATTTTCTTTTCTTGTTGAGTATTATATTGTGTTTGGGTGCAATAAGATTCATTAAAAGTGCAACACCCAACATTTTATTCTATAGGGCCTCTGTTACAAAAATAATAATAATACAAATTTATATATATATACTGTAAATCTAAAGGAAATTGGGCAGAAATTGGGCAGAAAATTGTAAGAAAATTGCATAGTGTATGGCCAGCCTTGGTCTACGCCGGTCTCTTGCTGAGCATGTATCACTAGACATCCAGACCTTTATCTGGGTACGTTGTATTTATTTGTACTATTGGTGTGGTTCTTATGGGTGTGAACAAGGCACTGGAAATTTTCAACCATTTGCCTACCAGAGCACTTTTTCACCCCCTTCCTGCCCAGGGCTAATTTTCAGCTATCAGCGCTGTCGCACTTCCCCGGCCCCTTAAGGGGCCCGAATTACCCGACTATGGCTTACCCTTTGTTATAGGGTTTTTTCCCTTTTGGATTCAAGAGATGGTCAGGGAAATGAACACGGATACCGGAATTTGGGCAGAGCCCGCGCCAAAAACAGGAGAAAGGTCAGAGCCTTTCAAAAAAGATTTTCCCGGAGTGGGGCAGAGCTTTCCCGACAGTTTCAGGAGGGGGTCAGAGCCCGCAAAAAACGATACAGGAGATGGTCAGGCCTTTTAAAACAATACAGGGGGAAAGGGGCAGAAACTGCAGACCCCAAAACAGGAGATTGGCAAACACAAAGACAGGGGGGCAACCACTGGGAAGTTAAGGGGAATTTTTAACGAAAAAATTAAAATTCAAAAAAAAAATTTCCTAAACAAATTGATTGGGGAAAAATGAAAAAGTATAAGGTAAACTGAAAAAAAAAAAGGGAAAAAATTCAGAGCCTAAAAACATCGTAAGGGGAGGCAGACCTCAACCAAAAAAAATTCAAAATTTTAAAAAAAAAAGAGGGGGTTTAAAAAAATTTAAAATTAATAAAAAAATTAAGGAGATTTGTCAGAACCCGAAAACAAAAATCAAATGCGTTAGTTAAAACCCTTAAAAGGGTGGGGCTGGCCCCAAAACAGGGGGGGGGGCAGGGAACAGGGAGGGCAAACCTCAAAAAGGAAAAGGGGGGTAGGGAGAAAAGGTGGGGGGCCAAAAATCAAAAGGAGGGGAAGGAAAAAAAGGGGGAAGGTGAAAAAAAGGGGCAGGTCAAAAAGGAAAAGGGGGTTAGGGGAGACAGATAGGGGTGGTCAAAACCCAAAAAATAAGGGGGAAGGTTGAGGGGCAGCCCTACAGGAGGGGTAGGGAAAAAACAGGGAGGCGGCCATGTCAGGGGGAGGGGGAAAAAAACAGGGGAGGGGGATAAGGAGATGGTTGGGGGCAAACCTACAGGAGGGGATAGGGAAAACAAATAAAAGGGGCGGTCAGAGGAAAAAAGGGGAAGGGAAACAGGTGGAGGGGCCCTGTCCCCTCGGAGGGGGTAGGGGAAAAAAGGGTTGGAGGGGCAGCGTTCGGAGGGGTAGGGACAAAAAGGTAAGGGAGGTTTACAGGAGGGGATAAGGGGGAAGGGCGGGGGAAAAAGGCAGAAAGGGTGGAGGGGAAACTCTCAGGGAGGGGGAAAAAAAGGAGAAGGTGAGGGGCAAAAAACAAAATGGGGGCCCCCAGGTAAAGGGGGAAGAATAGAAAAACAGGGAGGTGGCAGGAAGGGGCCCCTTTTGTTAAGGGTCGTGGGGGGGAAAGGGGGTGGACCCTGTGGTGGTGGGGTGGGGGCTGCAACAATGGTGGGATGGTGGCCCCCGCGGGGCCATTTCAGGGTGGGGTTGGAATTGGGGTGATTTAAAAGGCAAACCTTGAAGGCTCCCCAAATAGGTGGGCCGAAATCAGGGCATATCCGGGGGTGGAAAAGGGGCCCGTTGGGTGGGGGGGCCCTTAAAATTTGGTTCCCAAAAAATTTCAACAAATTGGTTGTGCTAAAGGGGAAAAAGGGCCCGCTTTTATTTCTTTTTGGGGGGAACGTTGGGAAGAACACCAAAAAACCCTTTTCCAAAAAAAAAAATTTTTATTTAAAAAATTTTATTTGGGTGTAAAAAACAAAAAAGGGCCCCCCTGTCGTTTTTAACAGGTTTCCCTGGGGGGCCCCTTTCGGGGCCCGGTTTGGGGGGCTTCCAAAATTACTTCCGGCGGGGGGTCAGGGGGGGAGCCACAAGGGGGGGAAAAGGGGGGGGGTTAGTGGGGGGGGGGCATGTTTAGGGGGCAACAAGGGGGGAAAGGGGCCCTGGGGGATGTCAAAAAAGGGGGAATGGGATGTTTGGGGGGTAGGGGGACGGGGACAACCACGGGTTTTAAAAAAGGGGGGGGATTGGGGCCGGTTGGGGGGAAGGCGTCCCCGGGGGGGATGTTGGGGCCGGTGATTTACGCAAAAAAGAATGTCTGCCCAATCCGCCCCTTTGGGGTGTTGGTTTTGGGTGGGGGGAACCCATTAGGTGGGGGGTTTTTTGCACCGGGGGTTTGGGGATTGGTTCCCCGTCTTGGGCCCATGGGGGGTTTTTTTAAATTTAAAAACATTCTTGGGACAGGACCCGGGCCCTTCACCAAAAATTTTTTGGGCCCCCCAAATCTAAAATTCCCCGGGGGTTTTTTCCCCCTTTTGCCGGGGGGTTTTCTGGGGTTTCCCCCCAATTTTTTTAAAGGAAAAAAAGTGGGATATTACATAATTTTATTTATGGGATTGTACACCCAAAGAAAAAATATAGCCCCACCCCACAGTGTTTTTTATAATATATTTTAATTAGACTTTTCAATATAGGGCCCGTGTCGTATATGCAATTACAGAAAAACAAACCCGCACAATATATAATATATATCAATTTTATTTTATTTTTTATTTAGGTGTACAAAAAAAGCCCCCGTGTTCAGTTATTTTTTATTTATAGTACACTTTTGAACCAAAATAGTCCCCGTGTTTTCGTATATACAAATTTCAGAGAAAAACCAAAAAACCCTAACCATAAAAAACCCTCCTTAGATGTCCATGGACAACCCCTTGTAACTGTTACAACCCATTTGCAACTGCGAAGGTCCCTGCAACTGGGAGAGTCCTTTGCAAAAATGGGAAAAGTCCAAAAAAAACAACCCCAAAAAAAGGTTTTATCTGGTATACACCCAAAATTGATGTTTCAAAACTTTTAATACAGGAAAATTTTATTACAGTGTACAACTAGCCTTGGGTTTTACTTTTTTTGTATTATATATATTAACACAAAAAAGTATGTAAATTTTTATTGTAACGTATGAAAATATAGTTCCCGTGTAAAAGTGTTTACAATTACAGAAAAAACCCCAAAACCAAAAACCATAAAAAACCCCAAACTAGATGTCCATAGAAGGCCCCCCCAAGCAAAAAGGGGAAAACCCCCTAGCTAAACCCGGGGTTTTTTTTCCATAGAACAAAGGGAAAAAACAAATCTTCTCGGCAGTAACACCAGGACGGGGAATTTTACAATAAAATTTTATAATGATCATATCCCCCCCAGAGAGAAAAAATAATTACAAAAAAAATTTAAATCCATTTTTTTGTTTATACAGAATTAGGGGGGTAAAAAAAACATTTTAAAACCCAAAACCCCGCCCAAAACCCATGTTCCCTTTTTCCAGGGTGCTCCCTCAGTAAAACCCAAACCCTTTGGTTTTTTTTATTAAAAACCAACACAGATCAATTAAGGAAATTTTTTTTTTTTTCTCCTTTTTTATAGATTGCAAATTTAAAAAACAAATATTTTGTTAAATTTCTATTTAAATTTATTTGGTGTTTTTGTTATTTATTTTTTATCCCATATTTACCCGGAGAGGAATGATTCTATCAGTAATAGGCGGGGGGGCGTTAGGTGAAGCGAGCTGCTCTGCCCCAGTGGAAAATGTTTGAATTTGGGAGGGCCTA